CCCTGTCCCTTTAGCTATGCTTTTAGTGGACCTAATTTCCTTCTTTCTCATTTTCTGCATTCTCCCCAACTCTGTTTCCATCCCCCTCTTCATATAAAACTTTTCCTTATTTTGCCATGGAGCATGTTTTCTCCTCCCTTTGCTCCCTACATAATTATCAACTAATCAGAGATCACAATGATCAGAGCTCATAATTCACAGTCCCCACAATTACCTCCTGCTTTGTCACATTCCGTAGGCATTGAAGAAATCACGCAATAAAGACATTGGGGTATAATCAGAAACACACTAACCCCATCTTTTGTAAGGGAAAAAACGGTGCTGCTATAAAAATTGTGCTTACATATTTATAAGAACTAGAAGATGAGGGACCTTTTAAGTCTCTGGCTGGCAGATCTGCAGGTGCAAGGTAACTCTTGTGGCAAAGGCATACAGAATGAAGGAGTGGTTGTTGCTAAATGTACCTCTTGGAGACAAAGAGAAGGAAAAAATCAACCTCTTCCCCCTGGAAAAAAAGTTCTTGAGGCACAACATAAACGTCTTCCATGCACACACCATACACGGTTTGAATTTATGCCTTCTCCTCCCTCAGGTTGTGCTGTTGCCACCAACGGATTTGCATCAAGATTGCCAGAATCTTGCCAGCCCCTTACTATCAAACCTTAATTCTAGCCACACTGCTATTGTAAACCCCCTGGGAGTGTGTGCGTAACATTTAAATGCAAGCGGTAGCTTTGGCATTCTTTATGACATAAAACCCATATGAAAAAGCTGGAAGGCCGAGCATGCTTCCTGGACTGAGGGGTTTCTCGCTAAGTGTTGGCAGTGTTTTATCGTCCACCATCCTTAAGACGTGACCATTCAACTGAATAGATCTGTAAAGAGAGAGGTTGTTGGATTATTTATGCTTTGTATTTAGATACTCATAGAGACCTGGTTACAGGCCACCTACTTGTGAGTTGGGGTACTTTTTACAACAACAGAAAATGTCGTCTTCTTACCTGGAAAATATGTTATCTTTCCCATGAGGTAGTAAAAGGTATTCATCTATGTGTTTATTAGATAAGTAATAAGGTAGCTGCAAGCGCTTTGTGACATTGTAGAGGTTTAAAACAAACAGTGTAACATCTCCTTCTTTGTACTTGGGGCTGAAAGGTAAGAGAAAGGGCATATTTATGACCAGCTCTTAAAGTGAAGTTACAGAATTGTGAAGAAAGTTCCTCCCTAACTGGGCAGGTTCTGTCCCCTCAGCACCATAGCAGATGTGCTTCCACAGCCTGAAGTGGTGACAAATGATTCCTTGTGGCTATCTGTACTTTCCCCACAGCACACTGCTGAGCTGCACCCTGCTAGGACTCATAGTTTCCTGGAATAGAGGTCCTTGCAGGGAGGGAGCAACTGAATCAGCAGCTCTGTCTGCAGAGCCAGCTCCATTGCTAGACTGCTGAGGAAATGTGATGGATGGCAGGGAGATAAAAGGGACAACACTGTAGAAGGATCTGATGGTGGGTGGCATCATTACCATTTTTAACACCTACAGGCTTCCCCTGCCACTAGAGCCCCACTGTGCAAGGCGCTGTACTAATGCATGTCTTCTTTCTCATACCGAGGAAGATTCTACAGACAAGACAGGCCAGGGCTGGAAGGAAAGATATGTTCCCATTCTAAAAATTGGGGACTGAGGAACAGAGAGATTTGGTAGTTTCCTAAGGCTATTCAGGGAGATTATTACAGGGCAAAAAACAAACCCAGGTCACCCATTGTTTTTCACCACAAGCCAATCCCTCCTTTCTCATGTAATTCTGGATAGCAATTCACATGACCTGCTCATTTTAACATTTCTTCAGAAAGTCTTGAATGTTTTAAAAATTTCCCTCCCAAATATCCATGTTACGTTGTCTGAATGCAGAACATATGCAGCCTATTGCAAAGCCTATTGTGGGCTATCGCCATGTTTTCATGGTTTCCCATGGGCTTGTACTGCAGCGGGGCCTTTGCTTTCCAAGTAAGCCTTTGTCCTGGGTGTTGTGTTTAAATGCTTACTGGTGGTTGTTTGTGCAATGAAGGTACACCCGAAGCTTCTTCTGGTCTGCCCCCTTCAGGCCAACATGCAGGACCTTGGTGCCAACCAGCTTCTTGTATAGCAGGGAAAGCCAGTAATCCTGTATTGCACAAAAAAAAAATTCAATCTGGCAAATTAGCTCTCAAGATCAGAGTAAAATCATACCCTGAGGTGCTCTTGTGAAGTGATACCATTTTCTTTAACATTCAAAATCTGACCCTGACAATCAGCCAGGACCCTGAGGTCTGTGCCCAATTTGCATGAAAGAAGTACAAACAAGCGTGGATGATCATATCCATTTCCCCCTTTATTACCTTATAATTTGTTATATTCAGGTAGACAGGATTCACTGTCAAATACTGAATGTTGAGCCTTGCTGGGTGTGAAGTCTCAGGTTGAAAATGCAGTTTAGTCCCAAAGCACACTGCAGAGTTGCTGTATGTTGGCTACAGTGACTGTACAGCGAGTGCGCCATCCCCATCAAATTACTGGAATGTGAACACTCTAAAATGCAAATACTGCCATGCCTTTAAAACAAGTGCAGCTGTAGAGTCATAGATGTTAGGGTCGGACCCACTGATGCAATGGTAGATAAAGAAGAACGTAATGATGGAGGCTGTGTTTGCTTAAAAGTGAATCCAAGTAAAAAAGCTAGAAGGCTGAGTGCACTCCCTGGCCTAAAGGGTTTCTCAGTAAGCACCAACAACTTTCACTGCCCCTAAAACATAAATTCCACTTTTGTGATACTCTCATGTTTGCCTTTTATCACCTGGTAAGAGATTAAAATTGGATCTTTCACATACAATTTGTCCAGATTCACAAAAAAAACAGGAAAGAGAAGCAAATTCTAACCCTGAACTGTAAAATGAATGCATTCATATAGTGTGTTTAGAGTCACTGTGCTTGTGAGAAGGGGATACAAAGCTGTTCAAGAGGGAGATGGAGGATTTGAATCTGAAAAATGCTGGGTACTTTCTACAAGGCACTAAGCACCTTGAGCTTCCACTGAAATCGATATGGGTTGAGCTGTCCTCAGCATTGGAAAGAAACGACGTTTGGCTCCACTTGTGCCTGGTAATACTTAAGCCTTTAAAACAGCTTTAACCATTTAAATTCTTCACTGCTAAGGTGGCCTTTCAATAAATATCAGGGATTCTATCCTGAAGGTGCACAGTTTTGCAAGCACAGAACAACCTTACAGAAGTCACGGCAATTACACTAAGGCAAAAAACAGGCAAGATCATAACTGAGTCTTTATATTGTTGAACTGTTCTTTTTTCACTCAGTTTTTTATTGATGAGTTCAACTTTCTGTCTGCCACAAGAGAGCACTGTAATGCTAGCAACAGGAAAAACCTGGTTTTTGGTTCAACTTACTAGATATGGCTTGGAAAACAATGCAGAGCTGATAAGTTCCATTTTTTTGCAGTGTCATTTCTTTGATCATAACCACACACATGAGGACCACATCAAGGCTAAAAAGCTTCTAGCTGTCCTAGAAACTCTCTTTATTTTCATATTTCTGCTGGACCTTGGAAACTGTCTGATTTTCAGCGCAAAGGACATGGACAAGACTTCACCGCTCTGCTGGGCAACTCACCAGCAAGCCCAGAGAGATGGGTTTGCTTATGGTTGTATACATTTCCCACTGCTTCAATAGCCCACTTGCCAGTTCCAATTCTGCAGCTCTTGAAATTGTAAGAAGCCCTCTGGCTACACTCCAAAATCCAACGGTTTGGTCTCACGCGG